GTGATCCGCCCGTCTCAGCCTCCCAGCATGCTGGGATTACAGGCTTGAGCCACTGCGCCCGGCCATGGTTTCACAAACATTTTATATCAGGGAAGCTGGATCGAATGATGACTGCAAGATTTTGTTATTCTTTGACAACTGTTTTGTTCATCCTCCAGCTGAAATTCTCATCAAAAATAATGTTTTTGCCATGTGTTTTCCCCCAAATATTACTTCATTAATTCAGCCGTGTGACCAGAGTATCCTTAGATAGATGAAGAGTAAATGTATATAAACACTTTCTTGAACAGCATGCCAGCAACAGTGAACAGAGGTGTGGATGTAGAAGGTTTTCAAAATGAGTTTAGCATGAAGGATGCCATACATGCTGTTGCAAACACTTGAAACACAGGGACTGAAGACACAATTGTGCATTCCTGGCACAACCTCTGGCCTGCAACTATATTCAGTGATGATGATGAACAAGGTAGTGACTGAAGGATTCCATATGTCAAGTGAGAAAAAAATGATGTCTGACATCATTACATAAGCAAAAAATATACCTTGAGAGTCTATCAGTAAGCTGGAAGAACTGGATATCAAAGAGGTTATTAACATCGATAATAAGACTCCAGGTGTTTTCATTGACCATTGGTGAAATAGCCAAAAGAGCTCTGAATTAAGATGATTGTGATAATAGTGATGATAATGACATTGTTAACACTGCAAAAAAAAAAAAAAAAAGTGCCAATTGACAATATGATGAAAATGTGTGATGGGTTTATTGAACGACTAGAGCAGTGTGCACTCATAACAAGAAGAAATTATGCCGGTTTATAAAATCAAAGACCAAAAAAAAAAAAAAAAAAAACCATTGTAAATGTTAAGGCAAAAGACTCTGGAAGAAACAGTTTTTAAGGTCATCTAGCAGAATATTTCCTCATCCCTAGAGGACCCACTTCCTTGTGCCTCAGCTGCTTCTGATGTTTCTTCTCACCTAAAAAAAGAAAATACAGTGTACAGTAACCATTTGATCAAAATGTAACATACTACCTAAGGTTGGAAGCCTGCCATTGTTCCTTGTTGCTGTTGCTGAACAGTTGACACAGGAATTCTGGTGATGTTACTGTGGTGCTTAGTTGCTCTGAACACATTATTTTCTCAGCGTATGAAGAATACATCTTATTTTTTACTGTTAAGTACTTATGTGTGAATAGGTGTAAGAACATTATTGCTTTTCAGTAGATATAAATTCGGAGTCAGGAATAACAGTGATGCCAGACAACCACAGATCATCCACATAGATTGCTGATACAGTGATAGCTTTGCTTTCTGATGGTTCGATATACACCAACTTCGTTTCATGGACAAAATTATTTAAAATGTTATATAAAATTACCTCAGGTGTGTGTATAAGGTATATACGAAACATAAATGAGTTTCATTTTTTTTCTTTTTTTTTTTTTGAAACAGAGTCTCACTCTGTCACCTAGGATAGAGTGCAGTGGTGCAATCTCAGCTCATTGCAACCTCCACCTCTCAAGTTCAAGCAATTCTCCTGCATCAGCCTCCCAAGTAGCTGGGATGACAGGCATATGCCACCACACCTGGGTAATTTTTGTATTTTTAGTTGAGACGAGGCTTCACCATGTTGGCCAGGCTGGTCTTGAACTCCTGACCTCAGGTGATCCACCCACTTCAGCCTCCCAAAGTGCCAGGATTACAGGCATGAGCCACCACACCCAGCCGAGTTTCATGTTTAAACCTAGGTCTCATCACCAACATGTCTCATGTATATGCAAATATCCAAAATTCTAAAAAAATCCAAAACCTGAAACACATCTAGTCCCAAGCATTTTTGGATAAGTAATACTTAACATTTATAATAATGAACAAAACATACAAAAGTATTGCTCTTCAGAAATTTAAAGTATATTAGAGAAGACTGGCTTTAAATAAACATGTTTTAGTCTTTTTTTTTTTACTAATTTCTCCATTACTTTTAAGCTTTGTCGAAGAACCTTCCCAATATAGAAATTCAGAAACATTTGTTTCATTTTCTTCAGGGTTGCTTTAAATAATGGGTTGATTCCTTAAGTTTGTCTTTAATGTCTTTGGAATTTGTTTTAACAAACAGTGGGAAATAAAACTACAAATTGATTTTTTTTTTTTTTTTTTT